ATAATATTATTTATAATAATAGAGACACCAAGTGATTTGAATTACCTCATACACTAAGTCCAGTCAAACAAAATGTGCTTCATTAGTGGTGGTGGAAAAGCATTCAGGTAGAAACAAGGCAGGCAACACACAAAAAAGGCTGTGAAGAGGAAGCAAAGTTTTTCCCCCCAAATCACCAGTAATTTGGAAAAGTTCTGGAGTGTAAGTAGTGCAGCTTCTCAATGTGGTGTTCCTGCTAAAAGAGATCTTGGGGCAACAGCATGAGGCAGAGGGTAATTCTACCTCACAGGAAGCATTCCCCCAAGAGTGGTCAGTGCAGGGACAGAAAAAATAGTGAGGCTTCAGAGGAGAGTCATAAAATGGATCTAAGAGCAGGGAAATTAGAAAAGGGGATCTCAGGAGGTCCCTTCCAGCCTAAACACCTCTGTTTCTGTCATCATAGCATCATCTTTGTTATACAGACAACTTTGGCTCTTGACATGTATGAAGTGCTTTTCCGGACCCAATGTGTTAATCATTTTAGTTGAAGAACCAGAATAACATTACCTAGAATAAGGCACTGTATCTCCATTGGCCCACTCCTCCTCAGCAACTCAGGAAGCTGGGAAGCATCTCCAGTGGTGGAAAGGATGTGAATTTCTTCCTGCTGTAGTTAGAGACTTTTTTGGGGAATTAGGGTTTCTCACAGCCTGGAACCAGGACTTCTAGCACAGATGAAGCACAGGAAGGAAAGTGGAGGAAAGAACTTTTTTTTCAAGAAGGTCCTTGAAAAGAATCCTGTTTACTGCCTTTAACACAGCACAGCCAAATGGTGAGTGGGGCCCTGGTGGCCTCCTCTCCAGTGCTTGTCACTCTGCAAAGGGCAAATGCCGCTCGAGAAGGTAAAAGTGTTAGGTGCAGAGCCCCCAGGCACACTCCACTCAGTGGCGACCCAGATTTGGTCCCCACGTAGCTACCTAGCTAGTGGTGGTGGTATCTCAGAGAAACACCTGACAACTTTGGCTGTTTCCTGAAGTATGGACTGTGTCCCGTAAACGTTTTCCTCGAGGGCAGCAAGGGCCAAAGCCTGCATACTGTTCTGGAGTGACTGCAGCTGGGACTTCCTTCATATGGAGGAGACCTGATCAGACACACAGGGTTGTCACTGTCCCTCAAGACACTCTGCCCATATCCTCTAGCTGATCTATTTGTCCAAGATGTTTATTTAATTTTGATGTTCTATTCCGTACACAGATAATCTGCCTTCCTATTCCAGTGGGGTCATGCATGGGGGTAAGGATCCTTACTACCAATATTGCAGTTCACTTGAAACATGTAGTGGAAAGACACAAGAGGGTTTTGTTTGTTTGTGTTTTAATTGCACAAACATATGGACTGAAATGTTTTGACTTTGAAAGCTGGAGTGAGAACCAAGCATATATAAAGAAGCATATCCTCTCATTCACCAAAGCAAGATTTCACATAGTAAATAGGAAATAATTAGTGAAACATATAAAAAATAGAATAGATGGAATTCAATACAAATGAAAACAGATTAATGATAAGATATTTGAAAATGATGTCACTATTGAATAATAAGTTAAGTGGATGCAGCAAGAAGACTCTAACCTTTGGGTTAGATAGAACCAACAGATGGCCAGCCTACAAGAGAAGAAATTCTAACTCAAGTTTGAGAAATTAAATTATCTAAGAAGGTTATGAACAATTTGCTGACAAGAATTTGTTTATGACCATGAATTTGGTTTAGAATTACTGTCTTACAGAAGAGATCTTTTGATATTTTTTTTGTTTCACAATTATAAGCCTAATGTGTCCTGCACAAGACAAGCAGATATCTCTCCTTTTGTTCAACTCCCTATTTAGTGTGGCTTTAGTCTGTCTAGTATCAACAGGAGGTCTATGTCTTTCCAAGGTCTGCTATACATTTTAAATTTTTTCTCTATGTGCCTACCTAGGTCTCTCTAAAAGGCTTTTTCAGCTCGTTTTTTTAACATGTAAATGTGGCAACGTGAATTTGGAAATGTCAGTGGCAGAGTGGGTCTGTTTGCAGGTTCTGCGATGCCCTTGCTATGCGGAGTTTCACAAGCTGTGCTGTCTGGACAGCAAAGCAAAATCTCTAAAATACTTTCCAGACCAGCTTTCCCTGGGATTGTCTCCCTAGCCTTCCATTCATCCCCTCCCATGCACACACTTGTTTGGTCTTGAACTCCCTATGGACTGCACTAACTTTGGCTGCTGTTGGATCACACACACTCCAAGTCTTTGCAGAAAAGTAGCGCCAATTACTTAGTACTTGTGAATTGGATAAGTTAAGCAGTGCAGTCCAGGAGAGAAAGGAAAAGAAGGGGAACTCTCCCACAAGTAGTCCTATTCTCCCGTACAAATCCAGCCTTTGTGTAGTTTTCTTAACTCTGAAATTCTTAATTCTAGCTGTTAAATTACTGGGTGCTTAAGAATGACCAGATTTAGCAGCAGTAGCGGCTGGAAGTTGAAAGAACAGTAATGAGTTCTGGTCACAGAGAGAATAATTCAGTACCTAAGGGAAAAGGCTTTATTCTTCCTGCTCTCAGTCATATTCCCAGGATACCATCTTCATCTTTAGTAAGATGAGGTCCTATTCCCTCCCTTAAAAGGTATCACACGAGTCAGAATGTTTCACAGGAAGAGATCCTCAGTTTGGCAGAGGATCTGTCAGATTCTTTCTGCAGAAGAGGTGGGGGCACTGGTTTTACATCACAGCTCTGTCTCACTGGACACTAAGATATGTCCAAGAATGCTGCAGCCTTCAAGCTCTTGGGCATCCTGTGTTGCATTAGGCAGAGCATTAGCAGAAGATTGAGGGAGATGTTCCTTCCTCTCTACTCAGCACTAGTGAGAGCACACCTGGAGTAGTGGGACCAGTTCTGGGCTCCCCAGCAGAAGAGATATCTGGAATAAATACAGAAAAATTCAAGGAGATTAAGGTAATGGAGCATCTCTCATCTGAGGAGAGGCTAAGAGAGCAAGGATTTGTTTAGCCTAGAGAAAAGAAGGCTCAATGAGATCATCTTATCAATATGTATAAATACATTATGGAAAGGTGTGAAAAACTCACAGTGAGTCTTCTCAGTGAAATTGAGTGACAGGACAAGAGACAATGGGCATGAATCAAAACAGAATTTCTATTTAAGCATAAGAAAAAAGCCTTTTTTACCTGAACAGTGGTCCAACACTGAAAAAAGTTGCCCAGTGTGGTTGTGGAGTCTTTATCTTTGGAGATATTAAAAATCAGACTGGACATAGTCCTGGGCAACCTGCTCTAGTTAACTTCACTCTGACCAGGATGTTGCACTAGGTAATCTCCAGAGATGCCTTCTGACCTTGACCATGCTGCTGCTCTGTGGTTCTGTGACCTTGACCCAAAGCCGGGAGGTGGCTTTGAGGCCCAGGGTGCTTGGGGTTCAGAACATAGGGAGGTAGTCAGGGGGGGAGATCATGGTCACAAGTGCCTTAAAATGCTGCCTGGTAGCTGGCTGGGCGAGACTGAAAAAAGCATTTCTCTGAAATGGGTCAGAAGCAGCTGGCTGTAGCTGAAAATGCCATTGATGTCTAAGCTTCCTTCCTGCCGAAGTTTCTTGGCTGCACAAATGAATGACTTTGGGTCAGAAACGTCATCAGGAGTGTGAGGTACTGAGCTCCATTTGGCTTGCTCAGAGCACACTGCTTCTGGCTACTGATCTCTTTTTTATCATGGACTAGCTATGCCTCTGCCTAAAGGGCAATTTTGTCTCTGCTGCTACCTGAAGAACTTTCTTCAATAAGCAGCAAGGGTGAGTTTCTGTGCAGGGAAAAATGGTCTTGTTGCAGTAGACTAAGGAGAGCAAGAGGACTGGGCCATGCTTGATAATCTGGGACTCAATGTTTTGCTTGTTGGCCAACACCATAGAGACTAGAATAAGAAGAGGCCTGGAGGGTCAAGCTTCAGAATGGACACAGAAAGATGGTCCAGGTCTTTGAAATAAGAGGCCCCGGGGACTACAGCTAGTGAGATACAAACATCTGGCAGGAGGCCAGAAAGGATCTGAGGGCTGAGGGAGTTTCCTTTCAGTACAGGGACCTTTCATATGGTAAAGGGCTTTGCCCAGAGGTATACTGTATAAAAGTACTAGCTCAATTCTGGCACAGGAGGAGCAATGTGTCTCCAAGTGGAGTAAACATGCCCTGCTGTGGTATGGTTTGCATGGCATGTCCAGTCTGGTTTTCTCTGTACACGTTGTGATGTTTCTGACCAAGGCTGTGGTATTTCTGCAGCACTCAGCAATGGCTGAAACCTCGGCTCTGGCAGCAGCAAGGACAGCAGCACCAACCATGCTAGATGAGCTCCTGGAGATCACAGCTCAGAGTCTGGTGCGCACTGAGGTTGCTGAGCACTATGAGGTTGTTCGGGAGCTGGGCAGAGGCAAATATGGCCACGTGATGCTAGTGACCCACAGGCAGAGAGGTAAGGAACCCATTGTGCCCTGTGAGCTACTGTGCCTCGCCTCCTCTCCACTCACCAGGGTGCTGTGTGGGCTGGTGGCTCCTTGGGGCCAGGCGTTAGGCAGGGTGGAGGGTCCCCAGGGATACCAGCAGGACAGGGACCTCCTCATCCAGGGACTATCCCATTGCACCTAGAAAGGGAGCAGGTGATGCCAGGGGGAAGCCCAGAACATTGGGCAAGGTTATGGTGATAAGGTAGCTCCAAGGTCAAGCTGAGAAGTCAATCCACAGTCAGGATCAATAGGGTTTGTGGCTAGACACTGGCATGGATGTGATATAGGTAGAAACCAGCAGCACCACCACACAGCTCAGGCAGAGAGTGAAGCCCCAAGCCCTAGCTTAAATGGTGCCCCGAGGCCCATGGGCAGAGGATGTAAGTGGAGCTCTCAGGTGGGGCTGGCCAAGTCCATTAAGTGCTTGCAGGGCCTTGACACTACTCTTCCTCAGTTGTCCCAGCTCAGGCTGATGGGCCCAGATAGCCTGAATTTCCCTTCCTCTACCCAGTGCTCCTGTGTGTGCACTGACTGGCTCAAAACTCATGTCAGTGGCAGCGCTTGCTCCCAGACTGGGTTTCCACAGGACATATCCACACAAAGCTTTGGGCCAGAGACCTCAGTGTGGCTTCAAGCATCTGGATCCACAGCTGCTCAGTGCTCTCTGTCTGGCCTTGGTGTGAGTGACTTTCAGGGTAGTCTAACCCACTCTACCCATCCCCAGGGACTCCTATGGCTCTCAAGCTACTACCCAAAGCCAGCACCAAGCTGCACACCTTTCTGTATGAGTACTGCGTGGCACTCTCCCTCGCAACCCACCCTGCCATCATCAGCATGTTTGGAATTGCCATAGAGTCCAGCCAGTACTACGGCTTCCTCTACGAACCAGCACTGCACAAAGACCTCATCTCCATCATCAAACCCCGGGTGAGTGTTGCGACAAGGGTGTGGGGACTGGGACGCTAGCATTGGACACTGTGCAGGCTGAGTGGGTCAGAGAGAGGGAGATAAGGACTGTGGGTCCCTCCTCTCAGGGCTCTACAGCACTGAAGCAGGTTCAGGCTTGCAAGACCGGGAGTGAGGGGTGTTCCCCGGGGCGGAGCGTGCAGGCGAGAGCCCAGCTGCCACGGCCGCCCAGGCGCCCTGCGCGTGCTGTACTGCTGCCTCTCTCCCCGTGCAGGACGGGATCCCCGAGCCAGCCGCTAAGCAGTGTGCCAAGCAGCTCGTGAGCGCGCTGGAGTTCATCCACAGCCGCGGGCTCGTGTACCGCGACGTCAAGCCCGAGAACGTGCTCCTTTTCGACCCCGAATGTCGGCGCATCAAGCTGACCGACTTCGGGCTTACGCGGCCCAAGGGTACCAAGCTCAAGCTGGTGGCTGGGGTCATCCCCTACACCGCCCCCGAGCTGAGCAACACTGCTGATGCCCAGGGCGTGCCCATTGACACCAGCCTGGACGCCTGGGCTTTTGGCGTGCTGCTCTTCTGCTTGCTAACTGGCTACTTCCCCTGGGAGCAGAGCCTGCCGGATGACCCTTTCTTTGAGGACTTCATGCTGTGGCAGGAAACAGGCCTAGAGAAAGACCTGCCCCGCCACTGGAGACGGCTGACGGCGGCGGCTGGCCCGGTGTAGCGACCAGGCCAAAAGAAGGCCCCGCCCCCGCCACTGGAGACGGCTGACGGCGGAGGCTGCCCTGATGCTGCGGAGCCTGCTGGCCCTGGATCCCGCCAAGCGCGGCCCCGTCAGCGGAGTGCTTCGCTACGTCGATTGCCCTTGGCGGCTGGAGGACGGGCGCCATGGGGAGGCTGTGCTGAAGCCCTAGGGCCTGCTCCCCTGGGGAGTGAAGGCAGGCCTCACCTTGCAACGGTCTGGGGCACCCAGGTGCAAGAGGTCATGGTGACCCAGAGGGCACCTTCTCTGCAGCACTGTCCCTGCCGCCATGGAGCCAGACTCCCTTCCCAGCTGATGGTCCTCACCCCATGGCTCAGTGCTGCCCAGTGTCACCTCCTTGTGCTTCCTCAGGGCTTGAAAACATCTCCTTTCTCTTGGAAATGGCTGTCTGCATGTGAAGCACTCACTTGCCTCCCAGCCACAGGGGCTCCAGAGTGATTTCTAGGGGCTGCAGCACCTGCCTTGTCCTCAAAATAGAGTGAAATATTTACTTTTGTGTTGCTGTATGTGGCTTTTTTACCCTTATAATAAAATGCCTGTGGGAAAGCAGGGGCATGACAGAACCTGCAACTGTCTCAGGACAACCTGTGTGAAGCAAGGGCCACCCTCAAATGTGGCTTGGGCCTCCACCAGGACTCTTGAAGGGTGGCTTCAGGTGGGTGGGGGGTAGAAGCTGGGAAGCCCCCAGCATGTGGCTGCAGGTGGTAGCTAGGGAGTGGTGATAATGCCAAAAATGTGGTGGAAGCCATGGAGTTGGACTGTTGGAGAGACCTCAGGGACTCACGCGTTATAATGTACCCACTCACATACCTTTCTTCCCGTTTCCTTGTGTTTACAACCAGGCTACAGATGGGCTCTTCCACATGGACAGTTGTTAGCAGCAGGAACTTCAGTGTCAGTTTGCACAAGTCTCCCCCTCTAGTCCCCTTCACTCAGGAACATGGCTGTCTGCAAACACCCACAGCCCTGCTGAAGCACGATTCACCCTCTCTCACCTCGAATGCCTTAGGTGCAAGTGGAAAGGGGAACTAACTGCAACAAAAGTCACATGTGTGATTCATCTGAGAAGGCAGTAGCACTGTGAGGGCAATTGGCCTGGGCATTACTGGGAAAGACTAACAGAGAACCTGTAACCACAGGCCACTTACCTTTATCTGTACAAACAACCTCAGCAAAATTTCCATGGTGATACCTCCCAAGAGTTTCTACACCATTGCCTTGCTCTTAGCCCTCCCACTCATCCACAGTGACTTCTCCTACCTCATAGCACTAGCTCCCCTCTGAATGAGTCTCCACCACTGCTTCTTCCCTGCTTCTGTTCTTCTGTATCCTTCGGTCCCAAGGAACCATTCTGAAGACTATCCAACACCTCCTCAAGCACACGTCTTCCCTTTACTGCCTTCAGGTCCTAAAAGAATGTCCTTCACATTCTTCTAGATGCCTGCTTACACCCCTAGAATACCTTCCTTCCCTCATTTTGCATCACTACTTTAACACTTCCTCAGCAACACTTCTCTCCTAATCTCCCAATATCCTCCTAGGTACACATTTTAATCATAGAAGAGATAGGAAGGAGAGAATTAGGAGCTAGAAGCTCTTTTTACTTTGTTACCTCTTTGCAGCCCCACAGATTGTGCTGTTGGTAATCCCTTCCAGCTTCTAGCAGAATCCAGTTGTTGGAAACATCCCCATCTCTGTTTTCATTCTTGGTGACTTTGTAGCTTCTAAAAATGCACTGCTTCAGCACTATGCTCTCTAGTATCCCAGCTTTTCTTTCACCTCAGATCCTTTCCTTCACATACTCTTCTGTAGTTCCCCAACCTCCTACTCTCTTTTTCTAGCTCCTTCTGGCACTTTACTCTCACTTAGCTTCCCACTAACATTCCCTTTCTACTACCCATCGCTTGATAAACACCTTTTGCTCATGCTTCTCTTAGCATCATTACCTCCATAGAATTGGTTTTCACTTTTCCTGCTCCCTATATTGCTTATGCCTTGTGTCCCCCTTCCAAGTCTCCATCCTACCGTATCAACAACCATTGCGTTCTCTCTGTTCAAGATACAGTTTTATTCCATCTGCTTCCATCTCTTAGAATTTTTCATTATTCAAAAATGTGACAAATGCTGCTCAACTCTGACCCATTGAAATATTACTTTAATTACTTTGTGATTATTGTAGGAATAGCAGAGGAGTGATAAGGTACCAACACAGATCTTCACAGTAGGAGTGAATGATCAGTGTTTGATATCTCACAGGGCAATCCTGGGGATGGTCCCACATTCAGAGGCAAGCTGGAAAGCTGGAGAAGGTTCAAAAAAGAACTATGGCAAGGCTATGGTTTAAGGCTTTAAGAAAGCCTTATTAAATAAAGTAATGAGTTAAACTATCTAAAAGAGGAAGACTGAATGGTAATTTGGTAATGGTACAGAATGCTGGGAAGAAAATACCTACTCCTAATGACCTCTTTAAATTTGAGAAAGGTCCAAGAGCAACCATGGGAGGCTGGAGCCAAGTAAGTCACAAGACTGCAGTAGTGAGGGTTCTTGCCTGCTGCAGGAAACAACCGTATGAGGAAAGGTTGTGAGACCTGGGACTATTCAGCCTGGAGAAGAGAAAGGTCCGGGGGGGATCTTGTACTGCTTTGTAGTTTGGGGCACGAGTACATATTGGGAGAGGAGTGGCTGGAGAACAGCCCTGCAGAAAGGTGTCTGGGGGTGCTGATCATTGGCAAGCTCAGTAGGACTAGATGATCATTGTAGGTTCCTTCCAACTGAAATAGTCTATTCTATTCTTACCAATGTGTGTAAATAACCTTTCAGAGAGTATAAAAAAGATGCAGCCAGAGTCTTTACAGTGGTACGGGATGACAGGAAAAGAGGTAATGTGCTCATACTGATATATAGGAAATTCCATTTAACGATAAGGAAAGCGGCTTTTGTTGATGATAGCCAAATGTTGGAATATTGGTTGTGGTGTCTCTGTCCTAGGAAATAATAAAAAGGTTATTGGACAAGCCCCTGGTCAACCTGGTCTAACTGTCTGTTTTGAGCGGGAGGTTGGACTAAACGATTACCAAGTGCCCTGGTAGCCAGGAGGGCAAAACCTATCCTGGGGTGCATCAAACAGCACAACTAGCTGGTCAAAAGAGGTGATTATAATGGTTGTATTCAGTGTTGGTGTGGTCTCACCTTGAATAGTGTGTGCAGTTCTGGGCCTGAAGTGCTGGGGTTTAAACTCCGAGCCCTCAATGAGGGTTGGCATATAGGTGATGTCCACAGCCAGGCAAGAAAGACCCTCCTAAGTGGTTTTCTCCCAGGGTCTGGCCAGACTTGTGTGGGGACTGATTAGGAGATCATCACCAGGTGCCCCCACTTTCCACTTTAACTTGGAGGTGAGGCAAGAAGCCACCTCTATAAGAGCTGACTCTGCTTACAATTGGGCTCATGGCCTGGCTGATCCCATTGCCTGTGGCTTGGCTCCTTGCCTGGTTTGCTCTCATCTTCATGTCCCCTATGGAGGGTGAGTGCATTGACTTGTTCCTCCCTCTGTCTGGCACTGTGGATCTCTGGTGTGTGATGTGGGAGTGGAGGGAGGGGTTTGGCTGCTGGTCTGCCTGTTAATGATAATGTCAATCTATAGTGGGCAAGCAGTCAGCAGGAGAGAGTGCCACAATTTAATATTTGTGTTATGGTCCTTAAATGTATCCAGAGGGCAGCAACAAAGCTGGTAAAAGAGCTGGAAGGAACATGCTGTGAGGAGCAGGTAAGGACTTTGGGTTTGTCTGGTTTAAGACAAACCCAAAAGGAGGGTGAGGAGGTGACCACATTGCTCTCTGCAGCTTCTGGAGGAGGGGAAGCAGAGAGGGAGGTGCTGAGCTCTTTTCTCTGGTACTCATTTATAGGCTGTGTGGGAATGCTTCAAAATTGCTCCAGGGGAGGTTTAAACTGGATGTTAGGAAGTATTTCTTTACTGAGGGGGTGTCCAAACACTGGAACAGGCTTCCTAGGGAGGTGGTTGGTGCCCCCAGCCTGTCAGTGTTTAAATGGCATTTGGACAATCCCCTTAACAACATGCTTTAACTTTTAGTCAGCCCTGAACTGGTCAAGCAGTTGGACTAGATGATCATTGTAGGTTCCTTCCAACTGAAATAGTCTATTCTATTCTTACCAATGTGTGTAAATAACCTTTCAGAGAGTATAAAAAAGATGTAGCCAGAGTCTTTACAGTGGTACGGGGTGACAGAAAAAGAGGTAATGTGCTCATACTGATATATAGGAAATTCCATTTAACGATAAGGAAAGCGGCTTTTGTTGATGATAGCCAAATGTTGGAATATTGGTTGTGGTGTCTCTGTCCTTGGAGATATTCAAAAGGTTATTGGACAAGCTCCTGGTCAACCTGGTCTAACTGTCTGTTTTGAGCGGGAGGTTGGACTAAACGATTCCCAGGGGTCTTGTCTAGTGTCAACCATGCAGTGGTTCTGTGACATTTTTCATTTTGAGGGCACTCTGTGTTGCAGCTGGAGATGTGTGGGGTTCCCAGAGTCTCTGCTTTGGAACTGCTCAGCATGGCGAGTAGTGGTCTCTGCAGAGCTGGGTGCATGATGCAAAACTGGCTTGTCAAGAAAAGCTTAGTACGATTTTAGGGTTTATTCCAAATTAAAGCCGAACTGATGGCACACTGACATCTCTGGGGAAATAGATTGAACTGTCCAGTTCCATCAGGACCAAGGCTGGTTTTTTTGCAAGAGCCAATAATGCCAGTGACAATTGGGGATCTGGTGCTGCCTGACCAAGATGATGTGACAGAGCAGAGGCTATTGGCAGTGAGCAGTGGTGGTGAGCAGTGTTGTTTCTCCAATTCCTTTATCATAGAGCCTTGAGAGTTTGGCAGAAGGGGTTTCTGCTGCCAGAAAGTTGTATGATATGTTGCTAAATGATGAAATCGGCACAGCAACTGCATTGTGCAGTAATGATGGTGTGGATGGGGCTACAACAGAGCAAGCACGGCAGTGAGCACAGTGGTAAGAGCCTTGCCCTGAGCCAAGTGCCCAGCCTGGGCTCCTTTTCTCAGTGACTTAACCATAGCTGCAGCTGGATTTCTTAAATGAATGAAGAAACAGACCAGCTGAAGCCCATCCCCAGGGTGTC